ACTTCAGGAGGGCCTTCAGGCCATGGGGACTTTGCTGTCCCTGTTGCTGCCACGTTCCCCACCCCTGACTCTGGACCCGGAGAGCCCTGTGGCTCTTCTCCCTTTAGAAGCTTCCTTAAGATGTTGGTTGACATAACTTGAGTTGGGTGATGGGGAGAGCCTGCTGATCTCATTTTTCCCGATTCCCTTTGTCCCAGCTAAACAGTAAAAATTGAGAGGAGGATGGGTGTCTGCGGGGAATAGCCCTGCCATTGAAACCCTGGCGATGGGCACACAAACCTATGTGCTCCTGGAAATTACCAAAATGTGGGTCGTCACAGTAACCCGAGCAACTTTGCCATTTCCCACCTGTGCAGATGACTTCGAGTCTAAATTCACGTTCCATTCCGTGGAAGACTTCCCTCCTCCAGACGAGTATAAACCCTGCCAGAAGATTTACCCCAGCAAGATCCCCAGAAGTAAGTACCACCTGGATTCTGACAGGACTCCTGGTTTTCCCTGACTCCAGAATTCGCTGCTTGGCTGCAGCCTGCCTGTTCCGATTTCGCTGAACTGTACAGCAACGCAGTGCTGCTCGGACGGCTGAAGCTTCAGAACATTGATTAGTCCCAGTCCCCAAGGATTCACTTAGAGGCTTTTACAGAATGCCAGAGTCAGTGGTTTAGCATCAGAGTTGGGTGAATTTACCACTTGTCCCTCCCCTCTCTAGGGCTTTTGACTAGGGAGCTAAACACCCCAAGGAAAATGGGATGCAGGAACTTTGCGTTAATAGCCAGGAAGAACCCAAAAAATGCCAATTCGGAACTGTGGCACACCATGAAACAAAGAGTGTCCACGGGTCAGTGGTTCTCAGCCTCGGCTACACATTAGAATGACCTAGAGAACGTAAGATTCCTGAAGGCCAGGCTACACCTAGACCGACTAAGTTAGAACACCCAGACAGGACCAGGGTGTTGGCAATTTTGAAAGCTGCTAGGTGATTCCAATGTCCAGCTAAGGCTGAAAGTCTCAGCCTGGTGAGAGCTGCCTCCTTTTGGCTTCATCGCGTAGCCAGGCTCCTAGGGAGGCCTTCCCTCGGCTGACCTGTTCAGCCCCAAGAGTGGAAGAGGGAGCAGCTGGCCAGTCGGCCCCTCAGGCCCAAAGGCCAGGGAGGCAAGTACTTTAGGAACCCAGGAAGCAAAGGAAACAAGTTGGGGCGTTGACCGCACAGTGATGCTGCCAGTTAGTTACAACAGGGCCAGTTCTTGTCTGGTGCTGAGCCAGTCCGATTGCGCAGGAGCCCATAAGACAGGACAGAGTCAACCCCGCGGGGTGAGGTTGGCTGTGTTCCCCACCCACAACCTGAGCAAGGCCCCAATCCCAGGCTTCTGTGGACCAGCATGGAAAATGACAAAACCATCAGTGTCTGGGCTTAGCCCCAGACCAGGAACTCCTTGAGTCTCTTTCACAGGGACCTTGGTGAGTCCCTTGTCCAGGGCCAGATTCCTGCTGGTTTCAGCTGCCCACCTTCATGTCAAACCCCACTGCTGTCCGTTACACCCAGACTGCAACACACCTGGCCCCCTGGCCCCAAGGCTTTTCAGTTGCTGACCCCTAGGTTAAGCCAGAGGTCCAGAAATGTATTCTCTAAAGCAGGGGTGGGGAACTCTTTTTATGCCAAGGGCCGTTTGGATATTTATAACATCATTCACAGGCCATACAAAAATATCAACTTAAAAATTAGCCTGGTCAAACATTAAAAATATTTGGTCAAACATTTAATTAACTCACCCCTAATGTGATGGCTGGAACTACTTCTCTTTGGTGAGGCCTTGGCAGGGCCAGACCAAACGATTTTGTGGGCCTTATATGGCTCGTGGGCCGGAGTTCCCCACCTCTGCACCTAAAGGGTCAGAGATGACATATTTGAGGCCTGCAGGCCAGACGGTCTCTGCCACTGCTACTCGCTTCTGCCATTTCCACGTGAAAGCAGCCACAGACAATACGTCAGTGAACAGACATGGCTCTCTTCCAGTAAAACTTGATTCACAAGCACAGGGGCTGGCTGGATTTGGTCTGTTGACGGAATTTTGCTGAGCTCTGCCCTAGACCATTCCAGCAAAGCAGATTCTTAAAAATCTCTTTCTGTTACACAGCCTTTCTCAGTAAAGTGCTCTGGAGTCCTTGTGCCTCCAGGCTCAGGGAGCGCTAATGTAAAGTTTCTGCGTTTTGAGCCCACGGTGCCCAGTCTCATCCCTGAAAATACACGGAGAGCTGTGCCCCACGCAGCTCGCCAGGAGGGCGCGGCGGGCAGTCTGTGCTGCGCTCCTCTCATCCCAAAGAAATGTTCAGACCAGC